AAAACTTTTATCTTCTTTAAACAAAATTATTCGCTAATACCAAAATCAATTCATTGATCCCTATTCATTCTGATCCACGCAAAACAAAAATAATTGTTATCACCAATTAAAATAAGCTCTCCCAAATTTAATCGGTGACACACTGCCAAAGTATCCATCAAATTTTTCTTGTGACATTACTATAACATGTTCTATTAATTCTTCTGGAAGTTCTGCTACCTTTTTCTCAGGTGCATCAGTTATTATTAAAAGAATGAATGCAATTATTTCATCTGAATTAACAATTTTCTGCACCTAAAAGAAAGAATAGTTGAATATCAATATGATAACTTTATTTATAATAACTATTAATATTAATATTAATATTATATTTTACCTTATTTATCTCATTATAAATATCCTGTAAACTTAATGAAGTAACTTTAAGACGTTTTGACTGACCTAATATCACAAAGTAATGTGACTGTTCCTGCAATTGAAGTGGAAAACAATTGAGAATAAAATACTATATATAAATAATAGTAACTAAACATAAACATTATTCACTTCATTAGTATTCCTTTGAGGTGTAAAAGACCGAGTTGCTTTCATATTTGGCTGAGTGGAAAGGAAACTTGGAACATCCATAGCTTTTGAAAATATCACAAACCAATCAGCAAAGTTAGCCTTCTCTTTGTTTAAGATTGCCATAAATGAATTTGATTGCAATTCATCAATATAATGATGGAAGTTTGAAGTGGTGATTTTCTTAGAAGCTTTCTGTAACTTAAATCTTTGTGCATATTCATCATCAAACTTCTTGTCAGGTTTCACATTTCCCACATGCAACTTTATATCTCCTAATAATTTATTTTTATTGTTAAAAACATCTTTTAGTACTTCACTCAGTTTCACCCATTCTGCACCCAACAAATGCCAAGTGTAAAGTCTAAAAAGAAACATGTTGACATCTAAATCTTCAGCATCATCTGGATTGACCTTGAGTTTTGGATCTGCAATGAGATTTAGTAGTGGAGAACGAATAGAAACAGCAGATTTATGAAGGCAATATAGATATATATATGGAAGGTGAAGATAATAAATGGTAGTAGTAGAATCATGTTTTTTGTCAATAATTTCTTCAGCATCAGTCCTTGGAGATGTTCGCAAAAAAACCATCCCCTCATCAACTAAGTGATTTACTGTTAATTCAGCAATTTCTGTATTTAATTGCACTTGCCTATTTGTGACAACAGAAGCAAAAATGATATCTGCTCGGTTCTGATAATAAAGACTATCAAAGGATTTAAAAAGATTAGCATATTGAATGTATCCTGAAATTGATTCAAACATTGACACAATCCCATCATAAGTCACTGATTCAAGAAAGAAAGAAATTTTATCAAGTTGAACTTGTCGTTCTAACACAGTAGCTGGTCCTGCTATATTTTGACCTGTTCCACATTCTGATGACTCATATAATAATACCTGCAACAATCTTGGTGGTCCTTCAATGTCTTCAAGTGCATATTGTATTTCCTTTTTGATAACAAAGTTATTATTAGGGAAGAGATCATTAAGAATTTCCGAATAATCTGCTTTTCGAAGAAGTGGAAGTTGAATAAGTTCAAATGCAGAACCGCTAATTGTGGTAGTTGATCTAAGATGAGCAATGTTTGTACCAGAAAGTATAGGGACAAATAAGGTGTGAATAGAAGAGTCAAGATGTGTATTAGTGATCAAACTGAGGATCTTATGAAGCTCTTTTGAGTTAGACTGTACTTCATCAATTGGAATGAGAAAGCAGAGATCAGCATTAATAGTTAGTTGAAGACTTTTTTCAAGTTCTTCAATAATTATAAAAGCTTCTCTAATTGGATTCTCTAATGAATTCATATAACTAATGAGAATATTTTGTTAATATATATAAATAAAACCATAGAATACAAATACATTTTCAATACACACTTTGCTATAATTAAAACCGTTTGCTCTGAAGTTTGCACAATTTGCTTAAATCCATCCATATATGCAACTAGAAGTGCTATACTAAAATCTTTTTCACCAAATGGATACCCATATCGTGTACCCATCAAGTCAATTTTGAGAACCAACTGCCTTTGTGCAGTATGGATCATTGATGAACAGAATCTATATCAAAACAAGATTGTAAATTTTCCCATTAAAAAAAAAAAAAAAAAATCTAATTACATATACCTTTCTCTAATCCTTGAATCATTTATAATACAACTATTGTTTGGACTATCTTTTTCAGCACGTTCTGCAATGTAATTTACTGCTTCTGATATGAATCTTGTTTTGCCAATCCCACTTGCACCACCTACTAAAGGGATTATTAGTCCTTTTTTGTAATCGCTGCTGCCTTTCATTGTTATATTAGAACGAATTGCAAGCCATTGCTCATATATTCTCTGTATCAGATGTCGTAAAATTCTCATTTGATTATCTCTATTAACTAGCTTAAATCGCCATCCAAGCTCTCTAACAATGGTTACATTTTCATTTTTGATATTATGAACATGTGAAAATGATTTACGATTAGGACTATTCCCAATAAGGCCTCTCAGATATACTATGATTTCTAAAGTAGATATTAGTTAAACAGTATACTGATAATAACAAGTATTTCCTGCTCTTAAACAACAAGGAAACTTACTGTCTCTGTCGCCTAATAAATGTATTGTGAATGATATAAAAGGAGGAATAAAAATGATTAATATAATAAAAGAAAAAAAATTAGTACTAGATAAGGAAATAACATACCATTATCTAAGATAGGAATTATTGACATTAAAATGAACAGTAAAAAAATGATTGTATATTTAATAAAAGATGGAATAAAAATAATCAAAGGAAAATACAAAATATTACCAACAGAGAAAGCAATATAGGTTTAGAATATTCAAATGCAGTTTAAGAAATAAATGAAGTGAAGTAGAAAGTAATGTTAAAGTTGTAAACAGTAATCAAACGAATAAGTAAATAAGTGAAATGGAATGAATGAAAATAATTTTTTTTTTTATGCAATTTGTTTGTTACCTTCTCTTTTTTTATTAAAATCAACTAATTCACGTTGCAAATATGTCACTTGATCCCCCCACTTCTCCTTATCCGCCTCTAACCTCTCTTTTTCTTTCCTTAACTCAACTCTCCGTTCTTTCCACAACTCTTTTAATTCTATATCATTTCCCCATTCTTTTCTTTCTAACTTCTCCTCCAGCTCATCTAATATCCTTTTACACTCCTCCAACTTCTTCTTTGCATCTTCGTGCTCTACTTTTGCATCATTTAATTCTTTTTCAATTTTTTCTTCGTACGTTGCCATTTTGTAAATTCAAGATTTAAGAATTAATTAATTAAAAAAATTTTTTTTTATTGATTTAGATCGCAATTGTTACAATTTATGCATGATTTTGTCCAATGATAAATTAATATTAGTGGCACATGACTTAGAATTTATTTGCGACAAAAAAAAAAAATTATTTTATTTTAATTCAACTAATAATAGAAAAATACATAAAAAATATAAGTTAAAAATCGTCAGAGCACTTGCATGGGAGGAAAATACTTGGACCCAAAGCCATTTATAAGTAGAAAATTATGTAAATATTTATTGATTATTTGTTTGTTTTTTAAACCAAAATAAAATTGTTTAATGTGATTATTAGAAGGATTTGTTATTGGAATTTTTTACCTGAAAATTAAGTGAGTTGGTGATGTTTTTATAATGTTCCAATACAAGGCAGGATTATTTACCTTGTTTCAATGTCAATGATTCAAACAATGTTTTTTCTTTATTGATAAGCAATGCAGTATGATGATCATTAATTACATTTTGTAGTAATAACCAGTGAAAAAAATAAATCAATATTGTAAGCTTACTTTCCCTCTAAGGATTTCTGCTTTTTGTTAGGGAATGATGCACCTTCACTCTGCTTTCTTTTCTTAATGTTTATTATTTTTCTTTCTTCTTGGTAAATTTCATAGGTGATCTTTTCTTTCCTTAGATAAGCTTCCAGTGTTTGAGTGTCATTTATTTTGAAAATGTAAAGAGCAATTTTTTCATCTTGCTCCTTTTTCAAAATACTTCTAATGGTGCTGTAATTTTTGGGTTCCATGGTAGATCTAATGTAAATGAGTTTCATATTAACTATTTTTATATAGGGGTGGTACTACATATCACTTAAGATAATAAATAGGATATTATAAAACTGTTAATTATGATCACATTACAAATGACTAAATTTTGATCCCTGAAATTCTTGGTAATACCAATGTTCACTTTGTCTGGTTTCGTTGCAGCATGCCCCATATAATAGTTACCCTTGGTAGTTACCATTATAAAATATTTATGGCTGTCGCAAATAATTGCAAATTTTATTTTAGTTCTCTTGACTAATATGACTAACAATACTAATGACAATAATTATAGGGCCCCGTCTACTCTACTGACAACATGTGATGTGATATTTTAACATTTTTGATTGTGTGGAGGTTAAAAGTAACTCTGCATCAGGAAAATGGGTACAAATATTATGCATATATAATATGCAATTGCAGGGATTAAGCATATAATATATGTACAATTTGCATACATAAAAAAATATGTGATTTGTATGCATATTATATGCTTAATCCCTGCAATTGTGTATTATATACACATAATATTTGTACCCATTTTCCTGATGTGTTTATTGTTGGCGAAGTGTCCTGTCAGTGAAGTGGGTGTTGGTAAAATGGCCCAGACCCTAATTATATTAAATCTTGAATCTATTTGCAGCAATGATAGCCACCAGCCCAATCATCGATGACAAGTGTCTTTATGTGTCATACTGGTAGATTAATTTGAACCTTATAATTCCGCATTACACTTTATCTGGTTTCATTACAGTATGCCCATATATAGGAACAGATTTTATATATTAAAGAAAAACAAGAATAATGAATGAGATATTAATATCATGTTAATAGTACAATGGTGATATCAAATAGTTTTAATTACTGAAATCCTTGGTAGTATAGACGTTAAAAATTCACATATCACGTGATTTGACATAATTTTGCCGGAAATTTTATGAACATAATTAATACAAAAAATTAATATTAATATTGATTGTAATATATAAAAAACGACATTTACTTTTTTGGCATCATTTCCAAAATTTTTTCTGTAACTTTATTCTTTTGATCAATATCTCTACCAATTTACAATTTTATTTCTTTAATTACATATTTTTATGAGTCTCTGAAGCCTTTTAAAGATAGCCCATATAATAAAACACAGAAAAGAAAAAGCCAACATTTTATTAATAACCAATAGTAAATCTACATACACACAAACTTTTAATCGTTGTCATTGTATGATTCGATTGAATCAATTAATTCAATTTCAAATTTTTGCCAATCAATTTTTATACATGGATTTGAAGAAATAAGTTTTTTGACTTTCAAAGTTAAAGAATGCTTTTCAAATTGATCCATTGTATAAGAAGGAAATTTATTACAGACTCGTGATATGATAAAACCCAGGTTTGTTAATTGGATGTTGTGCTGCACTTTCAAACATTCGTTAACCCATTCAAAAAGAATAAGTGATTGATCTACAAATTGTTCAGCTTCTAGTTTTTTTTTTGCTACCCATAAATTTTGATTAGAGAAAAGTAAACTATCATATTCAGCTTGTGTTTTCATTATTTGGGTGGGTAAATAGTATTTTGTTTTTGTGGTATCTAAATATGGTATTACATATGGTGTACAGTCAACCACACATTCATTTCTCGCCCACTCACAATCCAGCAATTGTTTTCGACTTGTTTAATAAATAAGTGAGATAAGATTAATATTTACATCATGACGAATAATAATGATGACTAAATATTATTGCTTGTTATTATTACCTTTTAGCCATGTATTGCAAACAATCTTTACAAGATCTTATAAAACCAACCCAATAAATTTGGATAGTTTTGTCTTTTCTTTTACAAATCTGACAACCCTTTTGAAAATTCAAAATCATGGCAAATTGTTTTTCTGTTAAATCAAAAGGTGGACCCATATGTTTGAATGGAGTGAAGGTTTCGCGTGAATGCTTCCAAATAATTCTGGCCATTGGAAAATACTTTTCACCTAGCATAATTTTAAAATGCTTACAAACACACGTCAACATTGAAATATCTTGAGGCGATAAATAGTAACAGATGTTGTAGAGTATGCCAAGAGAAATTTTGTCTTGCATTTTCACGTTAGGTGGATCAGAAAATAAATTCAGTACTTCTATATATTGCTTTAAATCTTCTTGACATTTCATTTTTAATCTAAAGATAATTATTATACAAATCGTATTGTTTTATTGTTTTAGGAGATGATAAAAAATCTGTGTTACAGCTTGGCTCCCTTGTACATATTAAAAAGGCACCGATGTGATGTTACACGGAATCTACAACTTCAACAAAAATAAAAAAAAATGCTGAGAACAACACCACGTAGCAACTTTATAAACTTTACTGATCCAGAACACACTGAAATTGACAATGTTTCAACAAATTCTAAACCACAATCTATTCCTAGTTCGTCTGAAAATCAAACTGTTGTTCATATGCACCTGGTACCCTTGAATGATTCTACTACTTTTGCAACAAAACAATTGAGATTCACATCTGCACAAGAAATAAAAATTGGTAGAGTTAGTGGTAGTAGAAATCAAAGAGAATCAAGGACAGATAATGGAGTGTTTACTTGTGAAGTGATGTCAAGAGAACATGCGGTGTTAAAAGAAGATGGTGGACAGGTATATTGTTAAATTATTATTATTATTGTTACTTTACTTTATTATGACGCAAGTAGTTTTAATACGATTATTGAATATTTAGATTATGTTAAAGGATTTAAAAAGCACTCATGGAACTTATATTAATGGCATAAAATTGGGAGATGGATCGGAAGATAGCGACTGGAAAGTATTGAAGCAGAATGATGTAATTACATTTGGTCATAATGTCAGACGTAATCAAAGTATGCTTAATTTTTGCTCGACCCTTTAATGTTTTATAATTATTCATATAACATTAATTGATTAAAAAAAAATTTTTTTTTTTCTTAATTAATTTATAGATTTATATCAACATTTATCTGCACGTGTTTTCTTTCCAAAAAAAATGACAAATATTAATAATTTCAACAACGAGCCAATTTCTAGCGGTATAAAAGTCGCAGGCATTTCTTCTGATAATGTCGAAGATCTTGGAGAGCCATCTAAACAGAGAGTTAAGAAGGATAATACTACTAAATATCGTGCAATTGCAGAATCCACTTCTATAACAAAACAGTCGATAATCATTAATGACGGGTAATAATTAATAATAATAAAATAACAAAAATAGTTTTTTATCAAAGGAAATATTGAATTTTAGTTTTATTTGATTATTTATTAGTAATCAGGAAAAACAAGGTACCGTTGATGTAGGAGAAAGTTCCACATCGTCCTTGATTGATCCTCAAATTAAAAAAAGTGCCGACAAAAAGGATTATTGTAAGTTGCACGCATACATGTTTCTAATGTTATATTTAAAATTCTTTATTTTTTTTTAATTAATATTTAATTTCTAAATTTAAAGGTGAAAAAATGATTGTTTCTAATGTCGAAGTCCGAGAAAGGATTGAAAAAGGTAAATAATAAATAAGTCGTCATTATTGATGTTAAGATGGATGATGATAATGATTAAAAGACAAATCTTTTTTAAAAAAGTAATGGAACCCTCTCCAACTGAAGAAAGTGATTTAACAAAATATCTT